GAATCGAACTGTGATCTCCTGGTTCATAGGTTGACACCCAACCACTGAGCCACGCCAGCGGGTGGGTGTATGTATCCTTGATTCCTCAAAAAATGTTATACACTTTGATAAGGTTAAATGCAGTATTACTGTACACACACTGAACTTGTGAATAATTAGGCTTTTCTGAAGCATCTGGAATATACTAGTAGTTAGTAGTAATTATCTTGTTTGATGAAGATCTTAAATTGCCAATCAAAACCAAACCAATACAATGGAACCTCTGGGTTTATGACATTACAGGAGTGAATAGATTACTTGACTTCAGTGTGGTAACTTCCAGGACATTTTAAAAGAGAGTGCTGCTGGATGAAGTTAAGAGTCCACAGGCTTTTCGTGCTGATGTCATTTAGTAGCATCTTGATTTTAAACTTTAGCGTAAACTAAAATAATGCTCTATTACCAACTGTCTTAGTCCATTCTGGCTTCTATAACAAAATATCACTGACTGGGTAGCTTATAAACAACAGAAATTTATTTCTGACAGTTCTGAAGACAGGAAGTCCAAGGTCAGGCTGCCAGCATGGTCAGGTTGAAGACTTCTCTCTCACATGGCAGAAAGGGCTAGGGAGCTCTGTGGGAGCTCTTTTATTTATTTATTCATTAAAAGAATTTTATTGAACCCTAGCCAGTACTCAGTGGTTAGAGCATTAGCCTGTGAACTGAAGGGTCCCAGGGTGGATTACCGTCAAGGGCAGGTATTTCAGTTGCAGGCTCGATCCCCGGCGCAGAGGCACATGTGGGAGACAACCAGATGTGTCTCTCTCACATCGATGATTCTCTCTGTCTCTCCCTCTCTCTTCCATTCTCTAGAAAATCAATGGGAAAAATATCCTCAGGTGAGGATTAACAAACAAAAAGAATTTCATTGACTTTTAGAGAGAGAGAGAAAGGGAGAGGGAAAGACACAAAGAAACATCAATACATCAGAGCAAAACATTGGCCGCCTGCCTCCTGCACACCCCCACCCCACCCCTAGGGATTGAATCCAAAACCCAGGCATGTGCCCTGACTGGGAATAGAATCAGCATCCTTTTGGTGCACGAGCTGATGCCCAACCAACTAAGCCACACTTGGCCAGGTCTTGCTTGCTTTTTTTAATGAGAGAAGTTCATTTATAAAGTGGCAGAGATAGTAGAAGGGCCCTTGGAGCTTAGGAGAAAGGCAGAGGTAGCATGCGGGAGGGTGTGGGGAAGAGGGGAGAGAAGAGGGGGAAGGGGAAGGTGTGGGCATGCTCCTGGAGCCGGGGATAAGAGCACTAATCCCATCCATGAGCACACCCTCATGAGCCAGTTTCCTCCCAAAGGCCCCGCCTCCTAACACCGTCACTTTGGGTGTCAGAATTCCAACATGAATGTTTCGGGCAGACACAAACTTTCAGACCATCGCACCAAGTGTCTCAGTTATCCCCAAGGGTTTTAATTTATGCAGGTGACTGCGTGACAACAGCAGAGGGGAATGCCACAGAAAGAAGATTTTTATTACACTTTCTGAGAGGAGGAGGTGTGCCGTGCTATGTAGGGCCACAGGGGAAGCACCAGTGTCAGTCAGGAGGCGGAAAGGAGGGAGGGGAAGGCAGAGGCCACAGCCTTTATTAGGGTTTCCGCGAGGAAGGCGTGGCGGTAGAGTAGACAGGGCGGGCTAGTTTGAATAATTCTACTGGGCTCTGGGGCACAGGGGTTGTCCCTCGTCTGTATTTTGATTTAGGATAAGTGAGAAGTTGGCTTGGTGTGTGGGAGTTAGATAAAGGAGGTGGGCTCAGGGTATATAGGCTCTGTATCACAGAGGAGATGGAAACAGCTTTGGCCACTAGTTTGGATCTGTACCTAATGAAGGCCAAATAGACAAATACGGAATTTAAGAAAACACAGAACACCAAGTTAGGAGGATCGCTTAAATCAAGAAAACCAATAACGTAATTCAGATCTGATCCTGACAGGATTTGTAGTTAAATTGCTTATCTCTAAGCGGACACTTATCTATTTACTGTTTAACTTTTAGCACAAAGAGCACAAACCATACCAGACGATGCTGGTACTGGGCAATCAGAAGCTCACGGAACTAAGGGACTCAATTTGCTGTGTCAGTGACCTCCAGATTGGTGGGGAATTCAGCAACACTCCCGACCAGGCCCCTGAGCACATCAGCAAAGTAAGGTGACTTTTCTTTTTTTATTACCCCCTTAAAGCAAGAGGAAATAAGAGTGCTAAGCTAAGGACGTAATGGTTACTCTAGCACAGTGGTTGGCAAACTGCGGCTTGGCAAACCGCGGCTCGCGAGCCACATGTGGCTCTTCCACAAAATACCGGCTCTTCCACAAAATACCGACTTCTGCGCATGGGCCATGAAGTTTCCATCGCACTGTACGTGCGTGCCTGCACGTGGTATTTTGTGGAAGACCCACACTCAAGGGGCCAAAGAGCCGCATGTGGCTCGCAAGCCACGGTTTGCCGACCACGGCCCTAGCAGGATCATCAATATTCCAGTCAGTGCTTTCTTCTTCTATCCATTCCCTCAAAACCTGTCTCCTCTCTGCTCTTTATCATCAAGGCCTTTTCAGAGCTAATCAGTTCTGATTTCCTCGTGTCCTGTTCCTTGTCAGTCACTCTTTGTACACGCTTCCTTCAGAGGTCATAGTAACCACCTAATGGTTTCACCAGTTGATCTCTCTTCCATGTTGATACAACATGATTTCACTATAGCATCTGAACTTGCTGTTCACGCTCTCCTCTTTCAAACTCTCTGTGAGTTTGTTGTCACTGCCCCAGCAAAGGGTTGGAGTCTAGGTGAGAATCTCATTGCCCATAGAAGGACCTGTCTGTTCGAGGACCAATACCAAACAGGGACGTCGCATCTGATGTTTGTCATTGCTGGTGGTTCTCTGGGTGAAGCTCTCGGGAGGACAGAGAAACCAACATACTCAATAGATAATTATGCAAAGGACTGGTAGACTGCTATCCAGGGCCTTTTCAGAAGGGATCTCTTGCCCAGTAAAGTAGCGGGGCCTTGATCCTCCGGAATTTCATGATGTGCAAGCTTGAACTAACGCTTTTCCCTGGTACAACCAGCGGAGGACCTCCGAGTTACTGGCCCGCCTAGGAGGGGCAACACCTCCCGTAGAAGAGTGAAAGAGGTTTGGATCAACTAGGATGGAGACAGAGTGTGGACAGGAGCCATCACAATCTCCATTTTTATTTGTTCCTGTGCCATCAGCCACATAGACGTTAATAACTTAGGTTTTATCTTACTTGTTCTTATTCTAATTGTTCTCCTGACCTTTCCCCCAGTTTTCATGGTTTTAGGCGAACTCTAATCTTGGTTCATCTCTCCCTGTAGCCACATTCTTTCCTGATTTCCAAACCGTTAATTTTTAGCGCCTACTGGACATGTTGTTTTGTTCAGTGATGTTTATGTCTTTATCCCTTTGATGGTGTATGGCACAGAGGAAGTGCCCAGATAGTTGTTGAATAAATGAATAAACCACAGAAACCTTAAGCTCAATGTTTAATGGATGACTTGCAAATTATTTTGTTTTGACTTTTTATTTTATTGATTGATTGATTGATTGATTGATTTGAAAAGAGAGGAAGAGAGAGAAACATTGATTTGTTGTCCCACTTACTTATGCATTCACTGGTTGATTACTGTATGTGCCCTGACCAGGGATTGAATCTGCAACCCTGGTGGGTTGGGATGACACTCCGATCAACTGACCTACCTGGCCAGGGCGTGGATGACGTAGGATTTAGATAGAAAACATTTTTTGTTCTTTTAGAGTTCCCTTCTAATCTACCTATATATATAAAAGCCTAGATGACCAAACAACCTGCCGACCGGTTGCTATGATGCACACTGACCACCAGGGGAAAGACGCTCAACACAGGAGCTGCCCCCTGGTGGTCAGTGCACTCCTACGGTGGGAGCACTGCTCCGCTGACCGATGTGCACCAGACACAGGGCTCACAGCTGGCCGCCGCAGCCCAGAGACCTCAGTGGAGCGGCAGTGAGCCTACTGAGCGGCGGCGGCAGCAGGCACATTGAGGCCGGGATGAGAAGGAGCAGCAGGCAGGAGCAGCAGGCTGCGTTGGACTGCGGGTTTCGGCCGATCCCCGCAAGCTACGCCGAGTGACCCCACCAGTGCATGAATCCATGCACTGAGCCTCTAGTTAAAAATAATGCCAAGGAATTAAGTTGCCTAAGTCACTTAAAATGAAGTTCTGTAGAAACATTTTTAATGAACAAAATTTTATACACAGTAAACTTTCTTTTTGTTTCCTAAATAAGGCAGTATTTATTCTTTCAGAACCTTTATTTTGGATCCTGGCTGACCTCTTTGAGAGTCTAGAAGTATATTAAGTGGCAGATTTTGTGTTAACAGCAGCCAGACATGGTATTATAACATATCATATCCTGTTATCTCTGCAACCACCTGGGAGGAAGGTAATGGTTTCACTCATTTTCACGAAAAAAAAGAGGGTCAGGGAGATTTAGTGAGCTTGTCAAGGGGACACAGCAAAGCCGGTCTTGTAAGGGTGTCTGGTTGTCACCTTGTAAGGGTAACACCGATGCCAGACCTGTAAATGGGACACTGAGAAAAAATAGAAACTAGCAAGAGATTAGGTTATCTTAAGGTAAAATTATTTTAATACCTAAAGCTTATATATCTTTTGTAGTTCATACACTGCTTTTGATTCTCATCACAATCCTGTAAAATAGCATGCCAGGTATTATTTTGATTTTGCAGGTCCGAGAGGGAAGTGTAGGTTAAAGAAGAGAACACAGGGGTCTAATTCTAAGAATATGGCGAAAGACAAGTCGAACAGAGTGGTTCTCAGCACAGGTTGAACATTTAATCACTGGGGGAGCTTGGGACAACACTGGTGCCTGAGACACATCTTCAGAGCGTCTCATTTAATAGATCTGAGATGAGACTTAGTCTTTGATGGTTTTGTGATTCTGTTATGTAGTCGGGATTGAGAGACACCCCTGTGACAGAAATTCTGATAGACGGAAAGTTAGAAACCTAAGGGTTCAGCCCTGGTCATGTGGCTCGGTTGGTTGAATGTCGTCCCGTGCACCGAGAGGTTACCAGTTCAGTTCCAGGTTAGGGTACATGCCTGGGTTGCCGTTTTGATCCCCAGAAGGGTGCATGCAGGAGGCAGGTGATCCATGTCTCTCTCTCTTCCTTTCCCTCTCTCTCAAATCAATAAAATCTTTTTTTTTTTACATGTGTCAGTACTTTTAATGTGTACATAAAATTATAGTAAAAAGACGACTATAAACAAGATGTAGCCCCTCCATTTCCATGGTCAGCTCACTACATTACAGTAAACCAAGTTTATATTCCACCATCAAGTGTGGTTCTCCCATTAGTTCACTTTGTGATGGGTTATTAAGAATATCTTCAAATCCAATAGTCTCATCATTACCCCTCAAAATATCCAGTAAAAGGTTTAAGATTAGAAGAAATGGAAGACACTGAACTTGTTGCACTGCCTTGAATTCCATTTGCAATTTTAGTGGAGCAAACAGACCCTGGATGTTTCTCAGTGTGGAAAAATTCATTTTATCTTGGTTGAGCTGGAAATTTTTTTCTAACAATTGAAGAGGATGACTGGGCAAAAGTTCATTTTTCACATAAGAAAAACCTTTTTGAAGAAGATCATGACTTTCAAAAGATCCACTTGCTGATCGCTCAGTAACTAGAGTACTGTCCTTTAGCTGAGGTTCAAGTCCTCTGCTATTCATCTTTGGCTCACTGTGCAAACAACCTCTCAAGCCCGGTAGCATCAGCCAGCCAATAAAAGTAAGTTATAAAAAAGAAAAGAAACGTAAAGGTTCAGACCAGTTGTGCAACTACTATAGTACTTTGGGCAAGATTGCTTGAGTAAGAATAGAAATTCACATTCTGCCTGCCTAAGAGTTATTGAATATATAAAGAGGGAATTTTTATAAAAGCACATTGAAAAAAATTTTAAATGACAGATAAACATAACTATGGTTATTATCACTGGGAAACACCAAATATATGGCTGTTTGGTCTTTGATTCTAGTATCTAAAATAACTGTCATTGCTGTATGCATATAATAAAATAATATTGAAGTTTATTTCATTTCTATTTATATTTCTTTCATGAGTCTCAGAATATACAAATTTAAGTCAAACCTAGATTAAAATAGCAATAGGATAAAACTTTATACCTTTATGCCTGGTAACTAATATAATGTTTGTTACATAGGAGGTTTCCATTAAATCTTAAACAAATTATTGAATGGGCTGAGCCTATACTCTGAAGTTGCATAGTTATTGTTAAATGTATTAGTGTAATTTTATGTCATACAAATTTTTATTTAATACTTAGAGCAATTTTATAATTCCTTTTTCTCAATACCATTTGTTTTCTTATAGGACATATATAAATCAGCCTTCTTTTATTTTGAAGGAACATTTTATAACGATAGAAGATACCCTGAATGCAGAGATCTGAGCAGGTACAACTTCTAAAATCTTTTCAAAGCCTTTCCAGTTTCTAGTTCTCAAAATGGTATTGTCTCCACAAACCCTTTAACTTGTCTGTTAAGGATATTTGCCAGGGAATTATTTTATTAGTTTTTGTTAGATTTGGGGTAAGAAATTCTTCTCCATTTTTAAAATATGTGAAAAAGGTTGGTTTAGGTACTAATTAATCAACATTTTTATTCCAAGAAGAAAATTTTCCTACCAAAAGTACATGTCAGCCATTTCAGGATCTTGCTGGCTCTCCAGAAGTGTTTTTTAAATGTATTATCTGCTATTTTAGAAATTACACTAACTCATTTGAGCCTTAGATACATCTAAAAAAGAAACTAAATCCCCTTAAACAATTTATAAATGTCTGTTCTTTGTATTAGATGATAGCAGTAAATCTGTCATTATTTTTCTGCTTGTTTAGTGTGCACACTTGTTGGCTCTACGTGATATATATAGTTGCTTAAGTACAAAACATGAAAAATTTGCATCTAATTACGTTAGATCACACTTTTAAAAAAAATGTTTTTGTTGATTTCAGAGTGGAAGGGAGAGGGGGAGAGAGAGAGAAACATCAATGATGAGAGAGAATCATTGCTCGGCTGTCTCCTGCGTGGCTCACACTGGAATTGAGCTTCCAACTTGGCCTGTGCCCTGACAGGAAATTGAACTGTGACCTTCTGGTTCATAGGTCAACACTCAACCACTGAGCCACACTGGCTGGGCAGACCACAGTTTTATTATCACTGCCCTGGCAAGTAGAGTATATACATATATTTTTCTGAATGTTTATATAAATTCTTCATTTTGGCCATTTGTATTTATATTCTAATGTAGCAGTTCTCAATCTCGGCCTCAGCACTTCTTTATACTGTAAATAATTGAGGACTCCCAGGAGGCTTTTATTAATGTGGGTTAAAGCTATCAATATGTATTAGCAATTCACACTAAGAAATATTTTAAATATTGACTAATTTAAACATTAACGTTTTTGTGAAAAATAACTTTTCAGAACAAAATAAAATAGATGAGTGACATTGTTATACATTTTTCATTAAGTCTGAAGTGATAAACCATGTCATGTAGCCTGCAGAAAATGGTTATTTATGAGAATATAAGAGTTGAAAGGGAAGCAAATAACATTTTAGGATTATTGTAAAGATAATTTTGACCTCATGAACCCCTCTGGGGTCTCAGGAACCACACTATGAGAACTGCTACTCTAATTGATGAAGAAAAATTCAGAATTCCTAATTCAACACATACCAACACTATGATTTTCATTTCAAGATGGTAACTGTCCAGTTAATGGGTGAGCCAGGTTTTGTGAAGTACTGCAGTCACAAACCGTTGTCAGCCATTTTTAGTTTTTTTGTGGAGCAATCATACATATCTTTGCCTTTTTCCCCCACCTCAGAACTATCATTGAGTGGTCAGAGGCCCATGACAGAGGCTATGGAAAATTTAAGACTGCTAAAATGGAAGATTTCACCTTCAATGACTTAAATATTAAACTGGGTTTTCCCTATTTATACTGTCACCAGGGAGACTGTGAACATGTTGTTGTCATTACTGACATAAGGTAAGTGGCATTACTCAGAACATTTTGTTTTCCTTTTCTGTGTTTTGCAGTATAAAAGCACAGTTGTTGTATTTTTAATAAGAGGAATAAAAGTAATTATCGGTGCAGCTTGGTTTGGCAACAGCAAAAATAAGTGCTTTCCATTCAGTGACCAACTTTGCATCCTGTTATTCATTTTGGGGGAAATATATATAAGTAGAGGCCTGGTGCACGAAATTCGTGCATGGGGTGTGTGTGTGTGTGTGTGTGTGTGTGTGTGTGTGTGTCCCTCAGCCCAGCCTGTACCCTCTCCAATCTGAGACCCCTTGGGAGATGTCCGACTGCCGGTTTAGGCCTGATTTTATAGAGACATCGATTAGCTGCCATAGGGATCAGGCCTAAACCGGCAGTCGAACATCCCTCTCACAATCCAGGACTGCTGGCTCCCAACCACTCACCTGCCTGCCTGCCTGATTGCCCCTAACCACTCTGCCTGCCAGCCTGCTCACCCCCTAACCACTCCCCTGCCAGCCTGATCGACGCCTAACTGCTCCCCTGCTGGCTGGATTGCCCCCAACTGCCCTCCCCTGCCGGCCCGGTCACTCCCAACTGCCCTCCCCTGCAGCCTGGTCCCCCCAAACTGCCCTCCCCTGCCAGCCTGGTCCCCCCAAACTGCCCTCTCCTGCTGGCCTGATTGCCCACAACTGCCCTCCCCTGCCGGCCATCTTGTGGCTGTGGGCACCGCCATCTTGGAAGGTATGGTAGTCAACTAGAACATTCCTTCCTTATTGGCTGTGGGCGCCACCATCTTTGAGTATGGGGCAGTCAATTAGCATATTCCCTCCTTATTGGCTGTGGGTGCCATGTTTGTGATGGTGTGAGGGTCAATTAGCATATTCCCTCTTTATTAGATAGGATGAGAAATTATTAGAGGGTTATATTTTTGTAAGTACTTTTTTTTTGAATTATTGATTTTTTTACAGGGAGGAAGGGAGAGGGATGGAGAGTTAGAAACACCAATGAGAGAGAGAGATCAATTAGCTGCCTCCTGCACACCCCCCACTGGGGATATGCCCGCAACCAAAATACATGCCCTTGACTGGAATCGAACCTGGGACCCTTCAGTCCACAGGCTGACGCTCTATCCACTGAGCCAAACCGGTCAGGGCTGTAAGTACTTTTTAAAGTGTCTCCATTTGTATACTAGACAGTGTTACTCAGGTAGTAGTCATCCAAATTGTACAGCATACAGGCCGTTTGCAAGTTTGCAGCCATATTCCTCGGTTTCTTGTCTTTTTGCCAAAATTTGTAGGCATTAAAGGGGAACTGGAGAAAGGGAAGAATAATTCTGATATTTGACCAATATAAAGTCTTAATGCTTTCATAAAGATTTTAAGTGGGAAGGACTAAAATAGTTTAAAAATGAGGTTTTAAGCTTAGTTATAAATTTTATATAGCTGGTGGCTTTTCTTTTCCTTATTTAGAACATCTCCATTTATGAGAACAGTATATAGGAAGCAGCCCTGCCCAATCCCCAGTGGGATTCCCTCTGTGAGAAGTTTTCTTGAGGAGCAATGATATATCCATGTATCTGTTATACCAGTAATAGGAACTGATGCATCAAACTCCCAGCTTCCTTTTCTTTGGCATCTCTGTTAACAGGCTCCAAACCTCAACCTCTCATTCACCGATTCTCAGGAAGCTACCTGAGGAAGTTCTTCACACACAGACTTCAGACTTGGAAAAGAAAAGCTTGGAATGCAAAACAGAATAGATAAGACATAACATGAACTCTCAGCATGATGGGAAAGGGAACCCCAGAATGATGGCTGGCTGGCAGAGCAGGAGAATAGTTCCCTTCACAGTGGTTCTCAACCTTCCTAATGCTGCGACCCTTTCAGTTCCTCATGTTGTGGTGACCCCCAACCATAAAAGTATTTTCGTTGCTACTTCATAACTGTAATTTTGCTACTGTTATGAATCGTAATGTAAATATCTGATATGCAGGATGTATTTTCATTGTTCGCGACCCACAGGTTGAGAACCGCTGTTTCAGAGACTGGAGCAGGATGGAGGGCTTGGGAAGTGTGTCCAGAGCTGCTCGACCTCCTGTTGGTGTATACAATATGGAGAATATGTTTACTGCTCTGTCAGAAAGTAGGGAACTGGATTAGTGACAGAACAGTGAAAGCTCAGCACATGGAAACATAGAGAATTAGTACCTAGAAAACAGTGTTACACAGTAAAAGGAACATATAGTCTGTTATGTAGCTTAGATGGTAGTATTGATGCATCATAAATTAAACATTAAGCATATATTTAACCCATTAAGCATATATCTAACCCTATTAGAGTAGTTCTGTACAGACATATTAAGGAGCTAAATTAAAAACAATTGCCCCTTGGGTAGAATTTTTGAAGAGCCAGGAGAGCGCATAAACCTCATAGATTTGTATGAATTTTAAAATTATATACATTTATTTCTTGAATAATGTGTTCTTCAAATTTTCTTCTTGGTTTCTTTTACTTTCCTTACATTTCTTATAGTGTAGACATATCGCTGCACACAGTGTTATTCCTTAAATTGAGGGCAATTTGGGGTGTGATTTAGACTGTTATTTTCATCTTGCAGATAGATTTAATCATACCATGCCATTCCATAGTGTATTAGTAAACTGTTTCAAAAAAGTTTATTCATCAATTTCTGATGGTGAAGTTGATATATTGCTACTCTTTAAGAAAAAATAAAATTTTATAATGTCAGAGACCAGGAACCATTAGAATCCTTCTTGAGCAGCCCCTTCATTTT